CCCCCCCCCCACCTCCAAAAGTGGGGGAGGTAGTAGCCTCCAGTGTAAACACTCAAATCCATGTGGGCCCTAAGCCCAAGCAAAGCAGGAATCACAAGAACCGAGTTGCTGGGAGTCAACGCCAGCCTGTGCCTGGAATTGCTGGTGGTGGTAGACAGTTCCAAGGGAAGTGGTCAGCGTGGGCAGCTGTCCTGTCAGTGGGGGTCGTGAACATGCTGCCCAAAACAGAGTAATCGCTTGAGCAGGACCCGATCTTGGCTCCCAGAGAGTCAAACTGAACAAGGCAGGCACCTGATGCTCAGGCAGAGGGGCTGGGGGAGCCCCTTTCCCCAGAGATGGTTTGCTTCCCCGATTGCTCCCAGCGCAGGGTGTCCCTGAACTCAGGGTTCCATTACCTGTCCCATGAAGAGGATGGCACCTGGTGGGTAGAGAACGGAGTAAGGAGGAGAGTCACGAAAGTCACAACTTCCCCCTCCCAATCCCACTGCTTCCTCCCCCCAATACAGCAGAGGTGGTCTGGCCAGTGGTAGGATGCTGGGGTACATGAAACCCATGGCTAAGCCGGTCCTGGAATTCCTCAAGCCAGGTTCTCCCCATCTCTGGGAGAGGAGTGTGTCCCAAACAGCTGGGGCCCAGGTTGGATCCTCACCTGTGGGGTTGTGGCGCACCACGAAGAGGAAGGGCCGGTCCATGATGATCTCCGGGGGTGCCATCCGGGCATAGACAATGGCAGCTGCAAGAGAGGAAGTGGAAGTCACCCCAGGGAGTCGGCTGGGCTGCCCCACACATGGATGGGGATGCCGGCTCCATTCCCCAGGGCCAGAGCTCACTGCCCTTGTGGGATAGGTCGTGATAGGAGGGAGACTCTTCAGCCAGGCCACAATGCACCCCCTGGCTGCTCCCCCCCCCCGAGCACACCCTGGGAGGCCACTGACCCTCTCACCTGTGGCTGATGAGGCTTTGGTGCCACTCTCGTTCACCTCAATCTTCACTTTCTGCAGTGCACGGGCCACATACAGCGACTCTTTGGCTGGAAGAGAATGAGTCATGAGCATGGGGTTCCAGGGCATTCCCCCACCCCCAGTGGCATAGCAAGGGGGTGGCAATTGCCCCTACGTGCCACAGTAAGGGGAGTGGTGCCAATTTAGTCCCCTCTCCATTTCCCTGTCATCCCTCAGCTGGCCAGCTCCTCCTCTGCCTGCTCCACTGGCTGGAGTCTCCTCCCTGCCTCTCTGCCCCCAGCCCATAGCCACTGGCAGGTTAGTGCATGCTGAGGCCAGCCCCAAACTGTAGGGAGCAGAGGAAGATGCAGTACAAACTCCCCCCTGTCCTCCCAGACTTGGGCTCAGCCATGTGCCCGATTCAGGGCCCAGCTGTGCAGAAGTGGTGGCGAGGTCCTGAGTGCATAACATCCTTGCTACGCCTCTGCCCACCCAGCACTCAAGGAGGCAAAGAACAAGCAGGAGACAGAAGTGGCAGCGGGGGCAGCCTCTTCTCTGCACAGAGGCAAAGCCCTCACCTGAGAGGCTGGTGAAGTCTGCAGTGCCAGGTTGGAAGACATCTCTAATGCCCAGCTGCTGCAAGGGCCAGTGCAAGTTGGACTCTGTCTCCAGGGAGAACCTGTAGGGGGCAAACAGGATCAGCAAAGGGGGGAGGGGGGAAAATGAGAGACATGTTCAGCACCCCCTCCAGCAGCATGGGCATGTAAAAGCCCACCTGTGCAAAGGACTCATCTAGTGCCCTGACTAGCAGAGCACCCACAGCCAGCAGCATGTATCTACTGGTGGTGCATGTCTGCACATGACTCTGTGCATAGAACAAAATTTTGCACATGGATGGAAATTAGAGGGAACACTGCCCAGGAGTCTTGGCTCCCAGTCCATCCTGAACCCACCAAACCCAGATTCCCTCCCAGAGCTAGGGAGAGGGCCCAGGAATCCCAGCTTCAGAATGAGGCTGGTGCAGGTAGGGGGTAGTTCTTACTTGGGAAGCACAAGCAGCCGGGCCACCCGGGTCATGTTGCTTTTCCACTCTCCCACCAGCCGTGCATCAATAACCTGGGTCAGGGTGGCCAGGGGCACGTTGCGTTGGTATGGGGCAGCGATCAGCATGCTGAGTGTGTCTCCATGGTATGGCAGCTCCACTACATCGTATTCTACTCCGTCTGGGGTGGAGAATTCACCTGGGTGGGGAGAGCTGGGTTAAGTGGTTGGGTGTGGTGCAGGTCATTCTGCCCCTTTCCTTTGGGGGAGCAGAGAGCAGAAGAGATTCCAGGAAAGGTTGAATTTAGATGGTCTCAGCCCAGAGAGTGGGGAAGAGGCTGCAGAGAAAGCTCGAGACCTGCCCACCTCCCTCTCACCATAGTTGAACTTGGCTGTCTGCTCCATCATGGGCACCGCCATGCTGCTCCCATCCGGCTTGTGGAAGACACGGTGGCGTGTGGCTGCCTCTGGAAAAGGCAGCTTCCAGAGCCCTTTGAAATACACAGCATTCACCAGCACCAAGCGGGTCAGGTCATCCACAGTGCCCAGGGGCAGGAAGTCACTGATCATCCCTGAAACCATAGCAAAGAGTGTCAGAGACCAACAAAACTCAGGAATCCTGGCTCCCTGCTGTGTGCGCACACACCCCCCAACCCACCCCAGCCAGGGACAGGACCCAGGCATCCTGGCCGCTCACCGTGGGTGCTAGTCCGGACCCAGTCATTGACGATGAAGCGTGCCCGCTCACACTCTGTGAAGTTGACCTGCTTGACGGTCTGGCGAAAGACCCGGGCGAACATCTTCATGAAGCCAGGAGTCAGTTCAAGATCCCGCTGCACAAACAGCGCATCAGCCACATCCACCCTGTCCTGGTTCCATGGGGCTGTCAGCTCTCTGTGCAGCCACCGCAGGGCCTGGGGGGCACCTCGCTCTGCAAGGGAGGGACAACTTGTCAGGACAATGCAACATTAATAACACAGTGGGCAAGATCTGGCCCATCAAGCCCCACAGCCTGCCCTACTGCTCCCCTGCCCCCAGGCCAATCAAGACATGGTGGCAGGGGAGTGTGCAATGTCAATGCTTTGAACAGCCCAAGCAGCTGGTGGCTTCCCCCCCACCCCATGCAATGTCTAGAGGGAGCCATCAGCTGTTCTGAACAGCAAGTTACTTTGTGACCCTCCAGGAGGAAGAATGAAGGGCTGTCTGGTGGCTAGACCAGGGCTACACAACTTTGGAAGCCCCAGGAGCCACAATGATACTCACAGCACATGCCGAGGGCCACAACTTAAGTGTGGTTGTATATACATACAAATACTTTCCACACTGACAGGCATGAATACAATAACGCCCACAATGCTGCAGCGCTCCCGGCACCTCCTCCCTGAGGGCTAGAAACGCTGTACCCGTCTGTTCCAGCCTGCCCATCCACTTGTGTTTTTCAATGCTTACCCTGCCTGGGAGCTGCTTTGTCGTTGTTCAGAGGATCCCATCCGTGGGCCACAAGTTGAACCCCATGTAAACCCAAGCCACCCCACGGGCCACAAAGAAAAGGGCTGTGGGCTATATGTTGAGGAGCCCTGACCTAGAGGGAACCACCAGCTGTTCAAGACAGCTGGCAGTTCCCTCTAGGCACTGCATACCCCTGGCAGGGCAGGGGGAGCACAAAGTCTCTTCCCCTTCCAGGAGGCATGGCACCTAGGGGGAACCACCTCTTCTGACTGAGGCCCCACCCTTCTGGGAGGCTCCATGATCACAAACCAGTTTGTGAAATGGCTCCTCTGCAAAACTTATTGCCCACCCCTGGTTAATACTACAAGCCCCTCGCCCAGTGTGCAAAGGCAGCTGCCTCTGGGGTGGGGGTATCTGGTTATACAACATTCTGTTGTTCAGAGCCAATATGCAGCCACCTCTGGGGGTGGGGGCAGTTGGTTACATAGGGACCTGTTGCCTGGCACTAAGATGCACCCACCTCTGGAACGGGATGGGCACTTACACAGGGAGTGGAGATGCCTGGCCCTGGAGGTGGCTGCAGCTGGCTACAACTGAGATGCTTTGGGGCCCCAGTAATGCTGATGGGGATACCACCACTTCCCCAGCCACTTACCAGTCACCCCGTATTCCATGGCTGCCTTGATCTGACTCCGGCTCTCCCCAGCAGCCGCCATCTGCAGCATGCCCAGCACGGAGGCCACGCCGAACGGCGAGAAAGCGACATTACGATCCGAGGAAGCCTTGACCACCTCCCGGAAAACCCTCACCCCAAAGTCGGCAGAGAGCTGGGCCACGCGGGAGCCAGCAGGGCGGCTCAGAGGGCTGGCCACGCAGAGGAGGGCCGTGCAGGCCAGAACCACTAGTGGGAGCTGCATCCTAAAGGGAGAAAACAGGAAAGTTAGAAAAGAACCCAGGAGTCCCGGCTCTGACCCCCGAGCTGGGCAAAGAGCGCAGCCGGGACGCGGCGTACCCCTCTCCCAGGCCGGCAGTAGGGAGCCCGGTAGGCGTCGCCGCACCGCTGGCTGCCTCACCTAGAGACTTGTCGAAGCCGGAGACTTGCGAAGTGTCTGGCCCCGTCGCCTTTTATCCGCTCGCCGTGCGCCCAAGGCGCGGAAAACCGCGATGAACTCATCGCCCCCGCGCCTCCTCCTACCCCGGGGGGAGCCAACAGCCCGGCCCGGGTCCTAGCGCCCGCTCTTTGCGGGGGCGAGTGGACCGGGGTGGCGGGATTCTCTGCCACGCCCCCTCTGCCTGTTGCGCTCCCCGGGGTGGCATCAGAGGGCAGGCGTGGCCCGTGGCCCGAGGCGCTTAGCATGCCCCCAACCGCCTCCCCGCCGTCCTCAAGGGCTCCGGAGTATCGCCCAGGTAAAGGAGGGACAGAGCCCCTCTTGCTGCCCCCAAAGCAAGTCACCCCCATGCACAGCCCCCTTGTGTTACCCCTAGTGTGTGTCACCCCCAGGGCAGGGCAGGGCAGGGCAGGCCCCCAGAGCAGTATTTCTCAACCCGTGGCACCAGTACCTTTACTCAAGAGACGTGTGTGTGTGTGTGTGGGGGGGGGGGAGTACATCAACACAACTGAAATTTTGCTTTAAGTTTTACAGCACTTTATTATTTTTGTAATTTTTACACCCAAAAATTTCATCACCCTGCCAGCTATGGTTAAGTTGTTTAAACAAATGTGTTGCAATGGTAGAAAAAAATTGTGTCTGAAAACAGTAGGTACTGGAGGGGTAGGTACTATATTAAAAAAAAGGTTGAGAAACACTGCCCCAGAGACCCACTTTCTGTTGTATCCCCTACTACATGTCAGAAGGGAGGACATGCTGGGGAGCAGAGCTGGGTCAGACGTAGGTGCAGGTTGGGGGGCTGAACTGTAGGCTGTTGCTATAGGGAAACTCTGGAACAAAATAAACACAATTTGTTTTTCCAGCTGGGAGCAAAGCCAAAAGGGTTAAAGGGTGTATGTGTGTGTCAGACAGGCCTGGCTCTGTGTGTGTGTGTGTGTGAGTGTGTGAGAGAGAGAGAGAGAGAGAGAGGTCTTCCTGTGTGTGTGTGATTTGGTATGGAGGGCTGGACATCTCTGTCCACCTGGGGAGGCTGGGTGTGTGTTGGGGAGGAGGAAACAGTGGGTGTCTGTGTGTGTGTGGTGGGGCTGGGGAAGGTGTGTTCAGGAGGTACGTGGTATTTGGGGGTTTGGGAGGAGTGTTAGATCTTCCTTAGTGACCCCAGCCCAACCCAGTGCCCCCCAATTCAGTTTCCCAGTGCCCAGCCCCGCTACAGGAGGCTCTGGCTTGGCAGGGAATGGGGCCATTGAGTGTGCCCATGAGCCATGGGACTCATGCCCCAGATGATAGTGACACTGCTCCCCAAATCCGCCACCTCCTGATCCCAAACCTGGCCTCTGAGTGTATGAGCCACCCCAGCTGGGCAGAGGATTTTCTGGAAACCTCCCTCCCCCGATCCAGCCTCCTCTGGGCCACAAAGGGGGTGTGGTGGGAGGGGCTTTGGGTTTTCCTGCCCAGCATTCGAGAGGGAGACACCTTGTGGAGAGGGTAGAGGAGGGCAGTGGGTGATCCGGGGTGAGACTGGGACATTGGGCCTCTGAGTGTATGAGCCACCCCAGCTGGGCAGAGGATTTTCTGGAAACCTCCCTCCCCCGATCCAGCCTCCTCTGGGCCACAAAGGGGGTGTGGTGGGAGGGGCTTTGGGTTTTCCTGCCCAGCATTCGAGAGGGAGACACCTTGTGGAGAGGGTAGAGGAGGGCAGTGGGTGATCCGGGGTGAGACTGGGACATTGGGTGGGTGTCCCAGCCCAGGGGCAGTGGGGCACAGGATCCAGAGGAAGGGGTTCTCTCCCCAGCTTGGGGAGGGGCAGGAAGAGGGGTGCCTTAGAGCACGGGAGCCAGGACTCCTGAGCTCTCTCCCAGCTCTGGGAGCGCAGTGGTGGCTTAAGTTTTGGGGAACATTCCCACATCCTTGCTCTCAGTACTGCCAAGCCCCCCATCCTGCCAGGTCCAACCAGTCCTGTATTGCTCTGTGCCCCCCACCAGGCTCCAGTTGCTGGATAACAGCCTCCCAGCTCCCTTCCCCAGCTTAGCACTCTGCAGGGACAATGCCCAGGGTAGGGGCTGTGAGCTTAAGAGAGGGACTTGGCCCCAAGGGAGCATCAACCCCTCCCCCCGAAGTGTCCCCGCCAGTGGTGAGCCAGATGTTCCCATAGCATCCTGTCATTGCAACCACTGCCCCCTCAATGACCCCAATGCAGGGCTGATGTCAAGCCCTTCCTGTGGGGGATGGAGAGGCTGCCTGCCCATGGGGATCTTGTAAGAGGAGCTGGAATGTTGATAAAGACAGGCAGCAGCATGGAGACAAAGGGGGCATGAACCCAGCTGGGAGTGGGGGCAGCATGTGACTCCCAGCTTCTGTTTCTGCCCTTGGCCAGGCACCAACCTGCTCCAAAAGTAGCCCTTGGCACTCACTTCCCTGGCTGAGAAATTCGCAACCCAGCCCTTCCCCCACATGCCTGGGTTCCACCCCAGATGGGAGAGGAGTGGGTGCTGGGGGCAGGGGGTGTCAGAGCAGCAGGGGAGGGGGAGTCTGGGGATGGGGAATCTGGCAGGTTGTGTACAGAGAATCACTTTGGCCAGCCCCACATTGACCCTTCACATCCCATCCCAGGTGTGACTGGACGGGCAGGAGCGGGTGGGATCTGGCGGCTGAAAGATTGGGGAACACTGGGTTTGGTGTGGAGCAGGGGAGATGCTGGGGGGGATTGTCAGTTCCATTCTCAGAGCTGCCTCTGGGCTTTGCTCTTCCGGCTCCTGAGTGCAAGCCAGCCCCCCTGCCACAGCTCTGATCCTGGGGTTCCCCAGTTCCATGGGACATCCCCCCCCTCCCGGAACACTGGGGCAGCAGCCTGACCCCTCCCTGCAGAGCCTGGGGACTGGCTCCGCCAAGGCTTTGCAGACAAAGAGGAGACCCAGGCACAGGTCCTATGCTGTCTCCTGGCTGGGGGAGAGGGGCTTTGCCGCAGGCGAAGGTGGCATCACTAGTGTGATGTGGCGGGCAGAGGGGCTGCAACAGGAGATGGGCACAGGGGCTGCATACAAAGGATGTGGGTGGGGGCTTGGGGCTGTCTTTGGGAGTCCTTACTCCCATGCCGCTCCACAGCTGTGGCTTCTGCACTCCTCACACATCCGGTCCCCATATCGCTGTGGCCAGACCCAGCTACTGGGGAACCAGCACGTTTCCCAAGTCGCCAGCAGCCCCCGTCAGGGCATTGCGAGCCATGTGGAGACACAGGGACAGTGCTGGTGCACCACATCCCACACCGTATCAGTGACCCTCTGCCAGCCCTCCCCTCCCAGAGAGAGAAGCCAGGAGTTCTGGCTCCCAGCCCCCCTGCTCTAACGACTAGCCCCACATCCCCTGCCAGAGCTGGGCTGTCTCTGAGCCCGTGGGTCGGGAATGCCGGCTCAGCCTTGGTCACTGTGGGGAGCTCAGCCAGGGTCTGACTGGTGAGTGGCCAGGATGGAATGTTCCGCGTCGCCCCCTCATCCAGTCAGTAGCTACAGAGTCCCCAGCCTGCCAGGCCCTGGGAACCTGGACGGTTCCTCCCTCCAGCTCTGACAGGGGAGCGGGGGCTGGTGGGTTAGCGTGAGGAGCGGGGGGGCCAGGACTCCCGGGTTGTCTCTTTGTGTCTGCGAGGGGAGAGGTGTCTGGGGGTTGGTGGGGCTGGGAGCCAGGACTCCTGGGTTCTCGCCAACTCCAGGAGAGTAGTGCGGGCCAGTGGTTAGAGTGAAGAGCGGCTCTGGGGCTGGGCTGGATCCAACCCTTCCAAGCCCAGAGTTATTTCTGCCGCTGGGGGCGAGGGCGGTGGAATCCCTCAAACATCAAGAACTTTCCACAAGTCTGGGAACGTGTTTGGGGAGCTAAAAATAGGCAGCGAGGTCATTACATCCGGACTGAGCCCTGGCCGGCCCCGAGCAGCACCCTATGGAGCTCCTGCTGGCCTGTGACTCCTGCCCCTC